ATACGTTATTTGAATATTGAATCAATACACGTGTGAGGAAAGGGTGCGATAGTAGACTCCAGTTATAAGATTATAAATTAAATTTCCAAGAGAAAGTCGGTTCTTTACATATTTTCTAATTACCTTCGAAAATATATTAACTCAAAAAAAAAATTAAAAATGCTTCATAGATCGATTTTTTTTAAATCTAACTTCATAAAGTTCTTTAAAAATATTTTGTAAATGAGGCCATAAGAGCTTAGGGGGAGAGTTACAACTCAAAAATACATTTAAGGCGCAGCGAAGCAAGCCGGGTAATTGCTAGTTTACATATATATTAAGATACCCTAATATAAGCACCTACCATAGCTACGTTTGCGTACCAAATTTCAACTTCATTTGACTTATGGTTTTGAAATTATAGCTGATAAAATTTTCCATAATTTTATATATAAGCACCTACCATTGATATATCTGCATACTAAATTTCAAGTTCGTGGGACTTATAGTTCCGAAGTTAAAGCTGATAAAAAATTCCATGCCTATTGTATGTGCCAAATTGTATGTGTAAAAATTTCTACGCCTATGGGATGTGCCACGCCCCCCTTTTACAAACCCCTTTATATATACTTTACTGTAAGCACCTACCATAGTTATGTCTGCATAACAAATTTCAAGTTCATATGACTTATAGTTTCGGATTTATAGCTGATAAAATACTCCGCGCCTATTGGATGTGCCACGCCCACTTCTACAAACCCATTTATTTATACGATACTATAAGCACCTACCATATATATGACTGTATACCAAATTTCAAGTTCATGTGACTTATGGTTCCGAAGTTCTGATTGATAACAAATTTCACGCCTATGGGATGTGCCACGCCCACTTTAACAAAGTCACTTATATATACTCTACTGTAAGCACCTACCATATATATGACTGCATACCAAATTTCAAGTTCATGTGACTTATAGTTTCGAAGTTATAACTGATAAAAAATTCCATGCCTATTGGATGTGCCCTGCACTCTTTTCCAAACTCATTTATATATACCCTAATATAAGTACCTACCATTAAAATGGCTGCATACGAAATTTCAAGTTCAAGCGACTTATAGCTCCGGAGTTATAGCTAATAAAACATTCCAGGTCCATGGGACGTACAACTCCCACTTTTACAAACTCACTTATATATAGCCTACTATAAGCACCTACTATAGATACGTCTGCGTACCAAATTGCAATTTCACGTGACATATGATTACGAATTTTCCACGCCTATGGGATGTTCTACCCAGTTATATATGCCTTACTTAAAGCGCCTACCGTAGATATGCCTGCACACCAAATTTCAAGTTCTTGGGACTTATGGTTCCCAAGTTATAGTTGATAAAAGGGTCCACGCCTATGGGATGTGCCACGCCCCTTTTTACAAACTCATGTATATATAGCCTACTGTAAGCACCTACCGCAGATATGTCTGTCTACCTAATTTCAATCTCATGTGACTAATGGTTGTGAAATTATAGCAGATAAAAATTTCCACGCCTATGGGATGTGCCATGCCCCCTTTTACAAACCCCTTTATATATACTTTACTGTAAGCACCTACCATAGTTATGTCTGCATACCAAATTTCAAGTTCATGTGGCTTATAGTTCCGGAGTTATAGCTGATAAAATATTCCTATGGGATGGTCCACGACCACTTTTACAACCTCATTCATATATACCGTACTATAAGCACCTACCATATGTATGACTGAATAACCAATTTCATGTTCATATGACTTATTGTTTCGGATTTTTAGCTGATAAAATATTTCACGTCTATTGGATGTGCCACGCCCACTTCTACAAACTCATTTATTTATACCATACTATAAGCACCTACCATATATGTGACTGTATACCAAATTTCAAGTTCATGTGACTTATAGTTTCGACGTTATGGCTGATAAAAAATTTCACGCCTATGGGAGGTGCCACGCCCCCTTGTCGAATCCCAATTTTTTTACCCTATTATAGGCCCAGGTATCATGGCAATACTCTGTCCAAATTTCGTTCGATTCTGTCCGTCCGGTTAGGCTGCAACCTGGCACATACATACATACTTCCACAAATATATAGTAGATATCTATCCTTCTCTTAGCGTAAAATAATTTTTGAGAATACCCCGACCCCAGCTCCTCCTATCGTGTAATTTTCTTGTCCAAATATTCCTTTTCAATTGGCTAACTTATGTTCAAAATATGAGCCAAATCGGCAAGTAAATGCAATTTTTAGGAATATCCTGACCCCAGCGCCACCTAGCGACCAAAGTTTTGGTAGAAATATTTATTTTCATGGTACTGATATATGTTCCAAATATGAGCCAAATTGGTCCAGCCGTTTAGTAGCTTAGTGACATTTAATGTACAGAAAACTTTTTGAAATTGTGAAATCGTAACGTCTCAGCATTCTTCATTTTTCGCCAACAACAACAAAAAAGTTCAAATTTTTTTAGGTCGAAAAACCTTCCACACAGAAGGTCCAAAAAAACACTTTTTACAGAATTGAAATCGGTTCAGCCGTTTGGTCAGGCATCGCGGTCATACGAAAAACATTTCATTTTTATACCTTTCATGAGCATGAAATGGTATTATAACTTTGGTCCGATGTTTGTAAGTACCAGAATAGAAGAGATAGACCAATTAAAATGTATACTTAAATGATCGGAACGCCGAGCTGAGTTGATTTATCCATGTCCGTCTGTCCGTCTGTCCGTCTGTCTGTCTGTCTGTCTGTCTGTCCGTCTATTTGTATGCAATCTAGTCTCTCAGTTTTCGAGATATCCGGATGAAATTTGGTAGGTGGGTGTATTTTTATAGTGTATTAATCATTTGTCGGAACAGGAAGAATCGAAACACTATAACATATAGCTCCCATACAACTGATTGTTCAGATATGAGATTTTTCGTTATAACTTCTCCATTTACGCAGCTAGGAACATGAAATTTTGCAATACTTTCACCCATTATCAACAGAATACTTACAGCGAAAATTACAAAGATCGGGTCACTATAACCTATAGCTCTCATAAAACTGATTGTTCAGATATAAGATTTTTCGTTATAACTCCTCCATTTAAGTAGCTAGGCACATGAAATTTGCACTGTTGTCACTCATTATCAAAAGAATACTTCCAGTGAAAATGGCGAAGATCGGGTCGCTATAACCTATATCCACCATAGACCTATGATTGTTCAGATATGAAATTTTGTTCCATAACTTCTTCATTTATGCAGCTAGGAACATCAAAATTAGCACCGTTTTCACTCATTATTAGCAGAATACTTACAGTGAAAATAACAAAGATCGGGTCACTATAACATATATCACCCATACAACTCTTCAGTTATGAGAATTTTCGTTATAATAATAATAATAATAATAATAATAAATTGGCGCTTACACATATGTTAGTGTTTGGCCGAGCTTCTCCTCCGACTTGTGGCGTGCGCCTTGATGTTGTCACACAAAGCGGAGGGACCTACAGTTTTACGCCGACTCCGAACGGCGATTGTATTTTTATGAGAAGCTTTTTTTCATGGCAGGAATATACTCGGAGGTTTGAAATTGCCTGCCGAGGGACGGACGCTGTTAAGAAAAAACCTTTTTTTTATATTTTTGCGATGTTGATTTGGCCAGCGCTTGAACCCAGGTGCTGATGTGTGAAAGCGCGCACTGCTTACCACTACACCACAGCGGCCGACTCCTTTATATATTCACCTAGGAACATGAAATTTTGCAATACTTACAGGCATTAACAACAGAATATTTTCGCCCATTATCACAGAAAGTTTACAGTAAAATTAACAAAGATCGGGTCACTATAACCTGTTTATTGCCCCCATACAACTGGTTGTTCAGATATGGGGTTTTACTGTAAAACTCCTTTATTTGGACAGCTAAAACCGATAAATTTCGTAAGCTATTTTATAAATAATAATACAAAGTCTACTGAGAAAATCGTAAAAATGTATGCTGTATGAGCTTTATCTCTTATACCACTGATTGTTCAGATACCAGTCGTTGCGATATATCTCCTTGATGTAGATTGTGTTACCGGTCCACGTACCGATCACACAGCAGTGAAAATCATTTAGATTGGCGCTATATAAGGTATATCTTCCATACCTCTGATTGTTTAGATATGATTTTTTATATATGCATCTCCTCTATCTATGCCTGCTGCGAATATATACATTTTTTCAAATGCAGTAATCTGTTAAAGTAAAATTTTCAGATGCTCATGAAAGGTATGAAGCCTTCGGCATAGCCGAAGACAGCGCTGCTCTTACTTGTTATATATATAGATTCCATCCTTCAGTCGAAAAGCGTTGTAAGTACGAAATATGTATTAAAATACAATAATGTATCTTGTAATTTTTTAAAAGATGAAATAATTTTTATATTAGCAGTTGGATGCTTGTAGCTCATATATGTACATAGCTTGAACTTAGAGGGTTCACTCTAAGGTTAAACGTGTATTTTTAATTTAACCTTATTTGACAAGTTGACCCCAATCGCCCCTTCTCAACCAAAATTCTGCATCCGCCAATGATGTGAACGAAGTGGAATAGAGATAGAAAAATCAGTACAAAGCAGCACACATTTCCGAAAAATAAGAACATTTGCGTACTGAATTGGGAATTGAAAATTTTCAGTACAGCGAGTGAAAATTCAATATTGTCCTTCCCAAATCAGTACGTCTGGCAACCGTAGATATAGAGGTTTAGTTCAATATGCAGAAACTTTTTTTTTGTAAACCTGTGTAATTCGTAAAATTTTCCTTAGTATTTTGTATAGTTTGAAACTTTGATTTATATGGTTTTGTTTATAGCATAAACAATATATTTGTACAAAAATAACGAAAAAATTATAGCTTGCAAAACATTGTGAATATTAAAAAAACAAGGGTGTACGCAGATATAATGGAATGAGTGTATGTGTTTGCATATGTATGCATACATACCTTCCGCAAAGTTTCCAGCTGTTTATGATTAAAATCAAGGTCCTGCAAAATAGATTCAAATCGTTTATAATTCTCTACATTTCCAATGGGATCATCGCGATGGTATTTTAGTTTAGTAGGTTGGGATTCTGCAGGTATTCGAAGACAACGATAGCCACGATCACTGTTTAAATGGTATTCTCTTAGTAAATTTTTACTATTCATAAAGTCGTAAAAATAGTAGAAGATATGGAAATTGTGTTGATTCCTGAGGAGATGACGGTCATGAATATGTCAATAAAATATATTAATCTTGCATAAAAGTTTCTTACATATCGGTTGTGGAAACTCGAAGCTTTTCCAGCATATACATATTGAAAACGGCTCCACTGAGTTTTCCTGTCTGCCCGAACGTTAGGAAGTACTGCAACACGCATCTTGTAGACTCATTGTTGATAGGTGTGCCAGCATTAACGAGCATTTGAATTGCATCGATTGAGTTTTCCACTCGTGTGGTAGCTCCACGATTGCCAGATCCAAGATAACATAAATGATTTATGAGTAAACGGACATTGGTTGATTTTCCGGAAAAGCTTTCTCCTGAAAACACGATATGCTGCGGTTCCTTATGATGAAGCATATCCTGGTAAGCAATATCAGCCACAGCAAATATGTGTGGAGAATTTTGTGAACGTGACTTAAATTTATATTTAATGTGAAACTGAAAACAAATGATAAAACGTACAATACACTGCAGCCTACATTTATATTCATTATTTTACCTCTTCATCGAAATCTAGTTGTAAATCATTAGAGTTTAGCGACAATAAAATGTCTCCGATAAAACTATAAGACCCGCCAAGTTCCATGCGGTTTCTAAGTGAGTCCGAAATGAGTTCTTCCGTTGGATTCTCGATAGCTGCTAAGTCTTCTGGATACATACGTTCTGGCTTTCCATCGAAGCGTTTTATATAACCACGATCAACGAATATTTCTGGTTCCTTATATATAGCTGGAGCGTCTCTACAGAAAACCAGCAGCTCACGAATATCTGCTTGTATCTAGATACGGTAACCGAAACAATATTTCAAGCGTTTTTATAAACTACATACTATGGATATGTAAGCATATTTACTATGAATACATAGTATAGTATATAACATACTTCTTCATCGTTGTCGAATAGTTCGTTCAAAAACGGATGTTCAATCATTTCAACCATCATTGGGCGATTTTCAACAGTTTTTTCCAAACACTCCGATATGAAATCATTAATTTGCTGAGACCAATTTGTTGGTCGTAATAAAGTAGGCGGAGGATTACGTACTATTTGGAACATAACGCGGGTGGGATGCATATCGGCAAAAGGCGGTTGGCCATCTGCTAGTTCAATTGTTGTTATACCAAGTGCCCATACATCGGCCCGTGAAGTAATTTCAGGTTCCTCTGGATTTTTAAAACCGTGCACAGAAAATAAATATACATATTTGTTTAATAAAAGTAAAAGATAATTACGAACTCTGCTATCTGCATTCACCCAACTTCACTTGAATTAGTCAATTTTTTTCAAAATCCGGGCCAATAGAGGCATCGAAGAAGCTTCGTTTCAATTAAGTTTTAAAAAATGATCAATTCTGAAAAAAGTTGGTGAAGAAGAAAACACCATGCATAGTTTATTTCTTATGAGGTTGTTTGTTAAACAACACGAAAAATCGGCTTGTATTTTTGATTCAATTGAAAAGGCACAGTAAGGGCCATTTTCTGAAGTAACCTTTAAATTTAAAGCTCACTTTATATCTAAAGGTTGGATTAAAAATAAAGCTATGTCTAATGTTAAGCATTTCTATTATCGGTTTTTGACGTATGTCTGTTTCTTGGTTGTAAATCAATTTAAAACCGACAATAAAATTATTTACTTTAGACACAATCATAAATTTTAATGTAGCCTTTAAATATAACGTGAGCTTTAAAGCTAAAGGTTACTTCAGAAAACGGCCCTAAGTGACGTCCTCCTTTTAAGTTGAAAAAAGATATTGAAGCTGTAGTTAACAACTAACCAAATTTAAATTTTTTTATTTAAGTAAATATATGTACACACCAAGGCCTAACAAACAGGTAGTAGCATTAGACCAAAACCAATATTTACGAGTATTTTGTTGTTTCTTCTGGTATGTAAAGTGTCAAAAATAGTCTACTTTTTCGTTAAATACTATAGTGGCCATGTGACATATAAACAAAAATTAAAAATTGGTGCAAATTTCTTTCTTTGTGAATTTGTTTCGTTCCCGAAGCATTAATGTATGCGTTTCAGGGCCCAATAATTAGCGTTTACGCCCCTCAGTTAAGAAAACGTTCCAAAGGCACGTACAAATTCATTTTTCTAATTAAGAATTTTTCTAAAAAAAGTTAACAATATTTGGCAGTTATGAGACCAACTAATACGAACAAAATCAAATTAGCTGCTCCACTGATGGTGCTGATGATTCTATCTGTGTGTCAGATGAAAATAGAAAAATTTCTATTTCGTATGTACGTGCATCTGCTTTGTACAGAAACAAATCTAATTTGCCTTTACACGATATGTTGGCATTTCCATATGTAAAAAGTGGCATGTACACATGCAAATACATATCGTGTAAGAACAACTTTAGCGTTCATAATTTTAAAATTTATTACTCAATTTAGATAACATAGGTCTTATTTTATTTATGCAATGGAGGACCTACAATTTTATTTCGCCTCCGAAGGACAAATTGATTTTATGAGGAGCTTTTTCGAGGCAGAAATATGCTCGAAGAAATATGCTATGTTTGCCATAGCTTTCCTATGGGCGACCGCTGTTCGAAAAGTTGTTCTAATTTAGATGTTGCTGGGACCAGGGATCGAACCCACGTCCTATGGAGTGGTAGTGCGTGCCCCTAACCAATCAGCCACAGCGGCCGCCTACATACATAGATGATATTAAATTCAATGAGCTTCACGTGTGTAAAATGAAATTTGGGATTGACCAACTGAATCAACAAAAAAAAAGCTATTAATTGCGCGCACTTTTTATATCCACTTTCCTATTTTTTTTATTTCTGCAAGCTTGAATTATTTAATAGTCCTCTATGGCGTTGCAGTAAGGTCGCAATGAGGTAATAATGGCTTTATTTCCCTTTTGAAGTTACAAATAAAACTATAGTTTCCAACTGGCAATGGAAAAAACGAAGTTATTATTTTTATTGCGCTTTGAAAACTTTTGTTTAGGAAAAATAAAATTACTTTTTGCAATGCCCGGCGATCAAACCCGGACCCGCCACCCTTTAAATTATGATTAATTACGCATTTGTAGAACTTTGAGTGTGATTTTATTTCACTTCTGCATTGGAAATAACGTCGTATGCTTTTATTTCAAAAGCTAAAGCGTATGGTGTTGTTGTACCTCACCCTTTTTCCATAGATATTTGAATTAAGGAGATAGTATTGGACTAATAGTCCCCTATTCTGCAATACTTTCATATTCGGATTTTGCTGCGAATCGTAGAAATGGTATGTAGCAATCCGAATCGTATTTTCGAAATTCGTAAGAATGGCATGCCTAGAAACGAGCGAGTAAGATATTGGCAACTTTTTTGCGTATTTTGTACGAAAACATTTCTGTGCCGGAAGCGAGATAAAAATAAAGCAAAAAGATGTTAGTCGTTGTGTGTTTGGAGGAAATATTAGTGGAGCTCTTTTAAACAGATAAATTTGCTTTTCGCATATGGGCAAATCTAAAAAACAGGTAAACTTTGTGTTATTTAGCATTTTTTTTATTGTTGTAAACTATATCAAGATGGTTGCTCTTGGACACAATTCATAGGCGTATACTTGAAGCGTCAAAAAAATTTGGATGAATTTGCTGCATAACTTTTGAATTATGGGTGCTTAAATTAAAAAAATAAGGAAAACAAGTGATTTTTTTTGTAATTTTTAAGAGGGGCACAATTAATTATGTCAAAACTTTTGAAACGCACCATATACTGGTTTGAAATTTTATGTGCAATTAGTACTTCTGTGTACACTTCATATGTAGTTGGTAACTAAAGTGTGCTTTAAAATCTAACTAAATGGGTTTATCGCGTAGCATTCCATTTTAAAAAGTTGTTAAGTATGTATTGTATTCTACAAACAATAACTAATAATATCATACCTTAGCAAGAGGTGTGCTTTCAGAATAAACCAACTTTTAAAGATAAAAAATTATGCGATCTTGAGCGATCCAAAACAAACGATCCAAAAACATCTTCATTGAATTGAATATTCCTGATAACGTTACATATACCTGTAAAATTCTTCAAAAATTTTTCTCTAGAAGTGTGTAAAAACCCTGATTTACTACTGAGTGAAAATATCTCAAGTGGGCCATCCAAAATTGGACGATCAAGATTTTTTCGCACAAATCACTTTATTCGGTTTACGACCATAAAAAAATATAATTTGAGCAATTTGGTAAATTCGCACTTTTACAAAAGTTATCAGGAAACAAAAACAGCAAGATACATGCCATAAATCAGTGGATAATAAATAATTACTGAATTCATCAAAAAAAAAGTTAATAACAATAACTTTTGTAAAACTACGAATTTTGCAAAATGATGCACTTGATGAAAATGAATTACACTTATATTTGTCGATTTATTAAGAGATTACGAATATAATCATATATAAAATGTAGGTGTAACACAAGTAAAAAAATTTTACTTTTTATATTGAAAGTGTACCTGTTTTTTAGATTTGCCGATATACGTATATTTTTATACCCGAGCGCACCTGTGCACAAGGGTATTTTAACTTTGTTCACATAACGGTTGTTTCTAACAGCCAAAACGAATCGAGATAGATATAGACAAATGTATACATAAATGCTCAGAATGAATAGAGAAGTCGATTAAGCCATGTCTGTCTGTGTGTCTGTCTGTCCGATAACGATTTTGCATTAACTGCATTGAGAACCAGTTCTTTAGGCATAAGAGGAGTTATGGCTTCTGGTTCAACAATTCAACCAGAGGCTGCCAAATGTTGTTCCTCGTCTAACTTTTGAAGCACTTGATGAAAATAAATTACACTTATATTTGTCGATTTATTAAGAGATTACGAATATAATCATATATAAAACATAGATGTGACACAAGTAAACAAATTTAACTTTTTATTTTGAAAGTGTACCTGTTTATTAGATTTGCCCATATACGTATATTTTTATCCACTGCTTTATACATATGAACGAACAAAAACGATGTTTGTTGCCCCATAGCGAGAAACTTGGGTACGGTTTAGTTATTTGTACTATGATTTTGGGTTGTTGTGCATGACCCGAGTCTAAAAACTTTAATATACATACACGTGTTTTCAAAGGAATGAACTTTAATTTAAAATAACGGTTTTAAATTTCCGAGCACTAGTTTATTATTAATTCGGTTTGAGCTATACACTTTTTTTGTAAATTTCGATGTGGGTTCTGCGCAAAAATACTTTGGATGGCGTAGCTGGAGTTACGGATACGCACAAACATTGTATACCTTCCGGCCCTCTTCTCCGCACACACAGAAAGGTGAATTCTACTTAGTAAGCGTTATAAACCCTTAGCGTGGCCGAAGGCGGAAGCAAGCGCAACGGGTGGTGAACCTAACAAAATGCATATTTTCAATGGCTTGGAAGGAGCTGTTTTTGCATTATCTGGATTGAGAACCAGTTCTTTAGGTATAACAGGAGTTATGGCTTGTGGTTCAACAATTCAACCAGAAGCTGCCATACATACATAGATGCGCCCATGGCAACTGCCCGACAGCTCCGCATAGCTTTGTGAATTAATTTCAAAATGCGCTCATATTCCGCTGCTATAGTTGCAAATGCAATCCATCATTTTCTGAAAAAAAAGTTAAATACAAAAATTGTACTATAAATAAGCACTTTATGCAAGAATGATAGAATACAAGATTGCGCCGATCAGAGAGGATTTTTGAGAATAACTTTTGTGTGACGTCACACTGGTGCAATTGAGAGAGAGAAATGCCAAAACGTGAGCAAGAATGGAAGAAGAAGAAAAAATGTTGCAAGGAAAACGTAAACAAGTTGCACCAGTGTGACGTCATGCAAACAATGATTCTGTGAAATTCGTTAAGAGAGGAATAGCGGTCCGAGATCGGCGCAACCTTTGTATTCTCTCAATCGTGCACTTTATGAGTATTTTCTAATTCATTCCACTTTGTATTCCTGCATACAGCTGACTTCGAAAAACAACTGATAGCTGGCAATGCTGAACATGTTTCCGCAACGGTTGTAGCATGTCGATGTTTCAGTTTTCTTAACGGAGCTACCATTTACGAATTACGAAAATTCGGGTTCTAGAATAAGGGGAAGTGTCAAATAGCGAAATTAAAATAAATGGTACGCTCTTGTTGGTTCTATCTAATACTCT